TGAAGGTACTTCACGCGCTTTCCGGTTTGCGTTTCGGCCATCGCAGCGTATTCCATGAACTTCGCCGCAACTTCAGATTTGCTCTTGAGCAGATAGACGACACAGTATCTTGACTTGTCATCAATGAATGTCACGAAGTACCGTTTTCCACTGAAAGTTGCCATCGACATCGGTCCGCATACGTCACTGTGAATCACTTCGAGGAGTTTGGAGGTGTGAGCTGTAGTGTTTGATTGGAAGCGCACTCGAGCCTGTTTTCCCAGAGCACAACCTTCACACACGTCCCACTTCTTCACCGAAGATATGTCGATGCCAATTCCAATGTTCTTCGTCACGATGCAATTGAGTCCATCGTGACCTATGTGGCCAAGCCGAAGGTGCCAGAGGTACGACTTGGTGCCCCCTTGACATCCCGACGACTTGGCTGCATTTGCTTGTTCCGGCGCCACTGGAGTCATTTGCAGCTTGAACAGTCCTTTAACTTCACGGGCACCAATTTTCCACTTGGTCCCTTTCGCTTCTCCATAGCACCCATCCTTCGTGAACGTCACTGGGCCGACATCCTTGGTGAAGCGGCCGACCGAGAACAGGTTTCTGGATAACTTTGGGATGTGCCACACGTTTGTGAGCACACCTTTCTTCATCCCTTGGGGTGTCTTCATCGACATGACAATGTCCCCACTGCCGATTGCTTGGACGGTTCCATCATCCGCGAGATGGACATCCACAGCGTCAAACCCCTTGTAGTTCCGCATGAACTTCTTGGAGCACGTCATGTGCTGCGTCGCCCCGGAGTCGACCAGCCAGATGTCCCTCGATTTCGCAGATGTCGTTTCACCGATCGAAAAGAGGTAGTCGCCCGAGTCTTCTTCTTGAGCGACGTTTGCACGTTGTGATCGATAGCGGTCGCCACTGTCTTGAGCGCGCTGTGGCCGGTGTCTCTCCGTGTTTTCTTGGATGCGCGAGGGGCACTCCGCCATCCAGTGACCAATCTTTCCGCAATTGTGGCACGGCCAGGACTTCTTCACTGGTCGCCCTTTGCGCTGATTGTCCCTTGTGATGAACGCTTGACCTTGCGAAGCTTCATCACCTTTACTTCCTTGCTCCTTCCGCTTCATTTCTTCATGAAGCAGTCGAGACGTCACGAGCTCCCAGCTAAGAGTGTCTGAGCGCGACTCCAAAGCTGTGATCAAGAATTGATACGAGTCACTCAGGCTGCCGAGGAGTGTGATCACCAGATCGTCCTCGCAGACTGGAGCCCCCACCGCTTCTAGCTGTTCCGCCAGCGTCTTGAGCTTGTTGATGTGTTCGAGCACATCGTCGCCTTCTTCCATCATTGTCGTGAAGAAGCGACGGCGCAAGAACAGCTTGTTGGCAAGACTCTTCTTCTCGAAGTGGTCTTCCAACCTTGACCATGCGTCGCATGCACCACTTGCCGACCGGACCAACGGTAGCTGGGAATCTTCCATGGCTAGACAGATCACTGCCATCGCCTTTCTTGACTTCCTCTTGTACGTCGCTTGGTCCAACTGAGTCTCGCACTGTTCCGCCTTGATCTCACCGCTGACGACCTCCCATAGGTCCCGTTCCTCCAGCACCATCTGCATCTTGAACTTCCAGGCGTGGAAGTTAGTTCCATCGAACTTGGAGATGCGGAGGGAGGAGGCGTCCATGGCAGCTAAGCTTGAATTGTTGGCGGTTTCAGAGTCTGACGAACTTGGGCTCATAACCTGATGAACTTTAGACTTCTTGGTCCGAGTGCAAAACGCAAAGTGAATATATATTTATAATAGGTACTTAGTTCGCAACTTTGAATACTACCTCTAAGCCTATTATTCGCAGTGACGTCATCCAGTGACGTCACCCACTGACGTCACCCACTGACGTCATTGAATGACGTCATCGAGTGACGTCATTTCCTGACTTCGCCCTTACTGGTACATACCAGTACCCACCGGTATAGCGAAGCTTGGTCTTCCACTTGCTTCAACACTTGACGCAGCTTGACGAGGTGTCTTCTTCACAGCCGCTGTCTTTTCAACAAGAAGGACTCGCACATCCTTGATCATGTTGGTCGCGATCATCTTGCGAAGTACATCGACTGGAGCATGACCCATTCTCGCATGTAGATCGGCACAACTGGTTCCACTTGTTGTCACATTCGCTGATCGTTGAGTTGTCCGAAGCCAGTAGAGTCCATCCACGAGATCCGCTGTCGCCACCACTTGCTGTGAGTTCTTGAGAGCCACATACATCTTGGACCCGTCAAACACGACTTGAAACTTGCCATGGCTGTTAATCTGTGGTACCGAGAGCAGGTTCTTGCTCATACTTGGAACATATAGCGCGTTCTTGATTTCGATCTCACGCTCTTCACCGTTGGGCAGAACCACCTTTTCCATGATGGTTCCCACACCCTTGATGGCCACCTTGTTGCCATCAGCCACCAAGAGTTCGCCCTCATTGCGCTCTGCCAAACTTGCGAACTTGGTCTTGTCGTGGCAAATGTGGTGCGTTGCACCACTGTCGACGGCCCACATTCCAGACACGTCCTTGCTCGTCGAAACTCCACATTCGAACGAGACTGCAAACGCCACTCGATCGTAGCCATTGCCTTCATCATGATGTCCCCACTGGACATTGTTAGCCCCGCGTCCACGACCATTGCCGCCGCGTCGGGCTCCCCGACCTTCGTTCTTCTGCTTTGTCCAGCAACGATCCACCGTGTGTCCCACCTTGCCACAATACGTGCATTGGTAGGGCTCACGCTCGGCGCTGAATGCCTTGCTTGCATCTTCAGCCTTCACCGTAGTCGCTGTCGTTGTCCCTTTTTCTCCTTGACGCTTGGCATGCTCATTCGTCAGGACTCTCACCACATCTTGAGTGCGAAGCTCGGTGCTGCTCATTTCCATGTTGAGCACCACATTTTCGTAGCTCTTCGGAAGACTGAGTAGCAGACAAATTGCAACGTCTTCGTCTTCCATCTTCGCACCGATGCCGCTAAGCTTGGCGGAGATGTTGAGGACCTCGTTGCAGTGATGCATGACGTTCGCGCCTTCAGCCATCTTGATACTGAAAAGTTGTCGCTTGAGGTAGATGCGTCCTGCCTTCTGCGACCCACCGTACAGCGTCTTCAGACTTGTCCACGCAACCCAGGCTTCCTCGCAGTTGTCCAGCACATGATGGTAGTCCGCGTTCATGTGCAGCAGCATCATACCAAACGCGACGTTGCTTGCCTTGACGTAGTCATCGGACGCTCGCGGGTCGGTGAAAGTCGGAGTCACTTCACGGTTGACGACGTGCCAGACGGACTTCGTCAAAAACACACCGCGCATGTACCGGCTCCACGTTGCGTAATTGTCTCCGTTGAACTTGTCAATGGAGGCGTTGCTGGTGGACGACATGGCGCTTGGGCTCATAACCTGTTGCATTGTAGATCGGAGCGAGGAAAGCGGAGCGAACGGAGCGGAGAGACCGAAGAGAGTAGAGCAGAAAACACTTGCCCAATAGTTGGAAGATTCGAAAGTGATTGATTATCGGGGCTTACTACTTACTACATGATTTATATGTGGTGTACATATAAATCATGTGAAGCGTCTCATCATCCTACGCGTCTAATCAACTATGGTAATTACCGTAAGAACTACGTCGTAAATACTAAGCTGAACAGGCGGTTCGGATTGGATCGGTCACGGTTACCAATACTGGTAGAAAACCGATGACCGTCAACACGCCCCCTCAATCCGAATGCTCACGAATCCAGAGAGTCGCCGTCATCTCCTTGTGGCGTGGCCCGTGAAGTCCCTTCGTCATGATGTCCGCTAACATCACCGCAGTTTCACAGTACTTGAGCTTCACTTCACCGCGCTTGACCTCATCACGGATGTGATGGTACTTGATATCAATGTGCTTGGCACGGCCGTGGTTGACTGGGTTCTTCGTCATCTTGATACACGACTGATTGTCTTCATGGATCATGAGTTCCGGTCCTTCTTCATTGGCAGCCATCACGATCTCACAAAGCAGACGATGAATCCACTTGCCCTCTTGAATCGCCAAGCTGAGTGCGATGTATTCGGCTTCACTCGTGGACAACGAAACACTTGGCTGCTTCTTGCTGCCCCAACTGACTGGTGCACCGAGTAGCATGAACGTGTACCCCGATGTTGACTTGCGGTCGGTAAGATCACCAGCCCAATCCGCATCCGAATATCCACGGAAGTCGATCCTTGCACTTGGCTTGTAGCAAATTCCATGCGTCTTGGTGCCTTGTAGGTAGCGAAAGATACGCTTAACTGCAACCCAGTGTTCTTCTTGGGGATTTTCCATGAACCGCGACACATAGCCCACAGCAAACGCAATGTCCGGACGCGTTGCAGTGGTCAGGTGCATCAACGCACCAACAGCTTCGCGAAAAGGAGCATCGACCTTGGTAGTTGCATCACTTGAAACAAGTCGAGAGCTCATGTCGACTGGACTTGCGACTGCCTTGCAATCATCCATGCCAAAGCGCTTGAGGATATCATCGACATACCGACGCTGACATAGTGTCACACTGCCATCTTCACCGTCCAAAGGCTCGATCCCAAGAACAAACGCACACTTGCCGCTGTCCTTCATCTCGAACCGCGTCTTCAGGTCGTTCTTGGTTTGTGCAATCAGCTCGAGCGAGCTTCCAGTCACCAAGACGTCGTCCACGTAGACCAGTATGAACACGCAATGGCCGTCCGAAGTCTTGATGTAGAGACATGGGTCGAAAGTCCGATACTTGAAATCCGATGGAGCACACATACTCGTCGAACGTCTCGTTCCATACTCGCAAAGCTTGCTTCAGGCCGTAAATTGCCTTCACCAATTCCAGGCAGTCGAACGTACTGTCAAGTTCGACGCCTTCAGGAATCACGCAGAACACTTGTTCCTTCATGACGCCATACAGGAAAGCTGTCACCACATCAAGCTGGTCGATGGGCCATCCAAAATGCTTGGAAATTGCGATCACCATTCTCAGCGTCACATGCTTGACCACGGGAGAAAACGTCTCCGTGTAGTCGATTCCATACTTCGAGCGAAAGCCCTTTGCCGCGAGACGTGCCTTGTACTTCTCGATAGATCCATCCGCCTTGCGCTTGATCTTGAACACCCATTTTGTGCCAATGGCGCGTTGTCCGTTGGGCAGCTTGGCTGCACGAAACACACCGCGAAGTCGCATTGACTCGAGCTCTGCATGAATTGCTTTTCTCCAGTGCACTTGGTCAGGGCCGCTTACTGCTGCTTCAAATGTTGAGGGTTCTGATAAGTCCACTGCTGCTTCAACGGCATTTGCACTCGCACGCCAAAACACAGGCGGTGTTGAATCACCAGAATCCTTCGTTTCTTCGTCTTCTTCTTGTCGTGACGAGTTGTTTTCCGGCGCGCTTGACTCTTCTAGTCCTGGTCGTTGACGCACTGCACGCGGTCGTGGAGCTGCTGTATCTTCATCATTGAGTCGGTTCTTGCGCTTGCCTGTTTGCTTGTACTCCATTTGACGCAGCTCTTCGTCATCAAGATCCAGCAATTCGAAGTCCAGGTCATCGACATCTTCATCAGTGATCGGCAGTTGAAGTCCAAAGGTGGACTCGTCGAAGTTGACATCGCGGCTGATAACCACCTGCCCCGCCTCGATGTCATAAACACGATATGCCTTCGAAACTTCTTCGTAGACCACGAATATGCCAGCGCGAGCCTTTGGATCCCACTTGAGTCGATTCTCTTTAGGCGTCAGTATGTATGTCTGACACCCGAATGTTCGCATGTGCTTGACGCTTGGTTTCAAGTTGTAGACGATCTCAAACGGGGTCTTGTGCACGACTTTAGGTGACGGCAGTCGATTCTTGACGTAGATGGCCGTCATCGCTGCTTCGGCCCAGAAACACTTGTCCAGTTTGGCATGATGAAGCATGCTGCGGCCGATCGTGACAATAGTCCTAATGGCACGCTCTGCTGTTCCGTTTGTTTGATGTGCATACGGCACCGTTGTCTGCTGTTCAATGCCTTCGTCTTCGTAGAACAGTTGAAGCGAGTTGGTTGCAAACTCGCGAGCTCCGTCGTGTCGCACGAACTTGACCTTCTTACAGAATTGCGTCTGTACCATGGTGATATATTTCCGGATGTAGTCTTCACTCTCGGACTTCACTCGTAGACAAAAGCCCTTCATGCATCCACTGGCTTCGTCGATGATCAGCAGCAAATATTTGCTGCCACCGAGCGAATCCTTTTCCATGGGCCCGCAGATGTCCAGATGAAGTAGCTCAAACGTATCGTAGCTGCGCTTGTCTCGGTTACTTGGAAATGGTTTTTGGACCATTTTCCCTTGTTGACATCCTCGACATGTAGTTGCTCCACCCGACTTGAGAGGGACTCGCACATCCTTGATCATGTTGGTCGCGATCATCTTGCGAAGTACATCGACTGGAGCATGACCCATTCTCGCATGTAGATCGGCACAACTGGTTCCACTTGTTGTCACATTCGCTGATCGTTGAGTCGTCCGAAGCCAGTAGAGTCCATCCACGAGATCCGCTGTCGCCACCACTTGCTGTGAGCTCTTGAGAGTCACATACATCTTGGACCCGTCAAACACGACTTGAAACTTGCCATGGCTGTTAATCTGTGGTACCGAGAGCAGGTTCTTGCTCATACTTGGAACATATAGCGCGTTCTTGATTTCGATCTCACGCTCTTCACCGTTGGGCAGAACCACCTTTTCCATTATGGTTCCTGATGAACTTTAGACTTCTTGGTCCGAGTGCAAAACGCAAAGTGAATATATATTTATAATAGGTACTTAGTTCGCAACTTTGAATACTACCTCTAAGCCTATTATTCGCAGTGACGTCATCCACTGACGTCACCCACTGACGCCATCCAATGACGTCACCCACTGACGTCACCCACTGACGTCATCCAATGACGTCATTTCCTGACTTCGCCCTTACTGGTACATACCGGTACCCACCGGTATAGCGAAGCTTGGTCTTCCACTTGATTTAGCACTTGACGCAGCTTGACGAGGTGTCTTCTTCACAGCCGCTGTCTTTTCAACAGTTCCCACACCCTTGATGGCCACCTTGTTGCCATCAGCCACCAAGAGTTCGCCCTCATTGCGCTCTGCCAAACTTGCGAACTTGGTCTTGTCGTGGCAAATGTGGTGCGTTGCACCACTGTCGACGGCCCACATTCCAGACACGTCCATGCTCGTCGAAACTCCACATTCGAACGAGACTGCAAACGCCACTCGATCGTAGCCATTACCTTCATCATGATGTCCCCACTGGACATTGTTAGCCCCGCGTCCACGACCATTGCCGCCGCGTCGGGCTCCCCGACCTTCGTTCTTCTGCTTTGTCCAGCAACGATCCACCGTGTGTCCCACCTTGCCACAATACGTGCATTGGTAGGGCTCACGCTCGGCGCTGAATGCCTTGCTTGCATCTTCAGCCTTCACCGTAGTCGCTGTCGTTGTCCCTTTTTCTCCTTGACGCTTGGCATGCTCATTCGTCAGGACTCTCACCACATCTTGAGTGCGAAGCTCGGTGCTGCTCATTTCCATGTTGAGCACCACATTTTCGTAGCTCTTCGGAAGACTGAGTAGCAGACAAATTGCAACGTCTTCGTCTTCCATCTTCGCACCGATGCCGCTAAGCTTGGCGGAGATGTTGAGGACCTCGTTGCAGTGATGCATGACGTTCGCGCCTTCAGCCATCTTGATACTGAAAAGTTGTCGCTTGAGGTAGATGCGTCCTGCCTTCTGCGACCCACCGTACAGCGTCTTCAGACTTGTCCACGCAACCCAGGCTTCCTCGCAGTTGTCCAGCACATGATGGTAGTCCGCGTTCATGTGCAGCAGCATCATACCAAACGCGACGTTGCTTGCCTTGACGTAGTCATCGGACGCTCGCGGGTCGGTGAAAGTCGGAGTCACTTCACGGTTGACAACGTGCCAGACGGACTTCGTCAAAAACACACCGCGCATGTACCGGCTCCACGTTGCGTAATTGTCTCCGTTGAACTTGTCAATGGAGGCGTTGCTGGTGGACGACATGGCGCTTGGGCTCATAACCTGTTGCATTGTAGATCGGAGCGAGGAAAGCGGAGCGAACGGAGCGGAGAGACCGAAGAGAGTAGAGCAGAAAACACTTGCCCAATAGTTGGAAGATTCGAAAGTGATTGATTATCGGGGCTTACTACTTACTACATGATTTATATGTGGTGTACATATAAATCATGTGAAGCGTCTCATCATCCTACGCGTCTAATCAACTATGGTAATTACCGTAAGAACTACGTCGTAAATACTAAGCTGAACAGGCGGTTCGGATTGGATCGGTCACGGTTACCAATACTGGTAGAAAACCGATGACCGTCAACACAAGTCGATCGCGAATGTTTTCAAATTGTACAGCGGCGATCGGCTTGGTCATCATGTCTGCCAGCATATCTTGAGTCGGGCAATACTCCAAAACGACTTCACCTGATTCCACCTTCTCACGCACAAAATGGTAGCGTATGTCGATGTGTTTTGTTCTCTTATGGAACTCCGGGTTCTTGGCGAGAGCGATTGATCCTTGGTTGTCTTCATACATCTTGATCGCTTCGTCGCTTGTCATCTCACCAAGTTCCCCCAAAAGCACTTTGAGCCATACTGCTTCTTTGGTTGCTTCGGAAAGCGCCATGTATTCTGCTTCTGTTGAAGATAGCGCGACCGTCCGTTGTTTCTGGCTTTTCCAGCTGATGCATCCTCCGCTCATCATGAACACATAGCCGCTTGTACTTCGTCTTGACTCAATGTCGCCGGCCCAGTCTGCGTCGGTGTACCCGCAGATACGGCTTCCTTCTTCACGTGTAAACTCAAGACCATGATTGGGCGTTGTTTAGTGAGATATGGATTCTCAAGATTATGATAGGGATAGAATTTAATAATAGAAACGAGGATAATAAAAAAAAGAGAGGGGAAAAATAAAAATTTAATAACACGTTGCTTGCAGGTATCTCAGCACACGCTTCAAAGCTTGCCAGTGAGTCGGGCATGGGTCGGACGAGAACTGGGATAATGATCCCACTGCAGCAGCTAGATCCGGACGTGTGGCGACCATGAGATACATGATGCCTCCGACAGCACTTCGATATGGCACGTTGCACATGGTGTCTTCGTGCTTGCATTCTTGTTCACACATGTTCTTGGTTAGCTTCAGGCCGGGATCTTGAGGCGTCTTCACTGGCTTGCTGTTATCCATTCCGAACTTGGTTAACACGGACTTGAGAAACTTGGTTTGTTGTACAGTCACCATTCCCGTCTTACGGTCGTTCTTGATCTCCATGCCGAGAAAGTAATCGAGCTCACCGAGATCCGTCATTTCGAAGCGTTTGCTCAGCGCCATCTTGGTTGACTTGAGGAGTTCGTTGTTGCTGCTGGCCAGGATGAGATCATCGACGTAGAGCACCACGAGAATCATGTCTTGGTCGTCTCGCTTGATGTAGATGCAGTGGTCCGATTCGCACTTCTTGAATCCCATCTTGATCATGAACCCATCGATTGTTTGGTTCCACATGCGAGGCGATTGCTTCAAGCCGTAGAGTGATCTCTTTAGCTTGCACACATAGTCCGGCTGTGTTGCATCCAGGTATCCGTCCGGCTGGTCCATGTAGATGTCTTCGTTGAGGGAGCCGTTAAGAAACGCTGTCTTGACGTCCATCTGATGTAGCATTAGGCCGTACTTAGCCGCCATACTGAGCACCACACGAATCGATGTGAACTTGGCCACCGGTGCGAAAGTTTCTTCATAGTCAACTCCGAATTTCTGTGAGAATCCTTTGGCCACAAGTCTTGCCTTGAAACGTTCAACTTCGCCATCTTGATTCTCCTTTACACGAAAAACCCATCGGCACCCGATGGCCTTGCGACCTTTCGGAAGAGGCACGATTTCCCACGTGTCGTTTCTCTGAAGCGAATCGAACTCCGAGTCACACGCTTCTTTCCACTTGCCGGAGTCGCTTGATTCCATCGCCGACTTGAATGTAGTCGGCGTTTCCCCCACTGAATCAACGATGTAGGCTGCTTCAAAATCCATTGCAGCCGCTGACACATGCTCAAGCGACGGACCTCTGTATGTTCTTCGCTTGGGACTTGGAATGACGGTAGCTTTCTCAAGTGATTGAGTGCGCGTGTGTCTCTTGATGTTGCTCTTCGAAGACCTGGTGTCTTCGTTGTCATCGTCGCTCGAGTCCATGTCGTCGTCAGTTTTACCTTCTTCTTTTTCTTCGTCCTCATCATGATCATCAAACTCAACGACACTTGACTCATCGTTGTAGTTGCGCGGACCTTCATCAAACTTGTCTTCCATGAATGTGGCATCGCGACTGATCTTGATCGCTCCTGTTGACACTTCCTCAAATCGATATGACTTCTGGTGTTCGGCGTATCCCAGGAAACGACAGAGTGATGACTTGGAGTCGAACTTCGCGCGTTTGTCTTGAGGCACTTGAACATACGCGTGGCATCCAAACACTTTAAGGTTGGCCAGAATCGGTTTCTTCATCGTCCACACTTGATATGGAGACTTGTCTTGGTGAATGGCACGTGTTGGACAGCGGTTTCGAAGAAACATCGCCGTCATCACTGCTTCACCCCAGTAGCTCTTTCCCAGTCCAGCGTGTTCCATCATGCAACGCGCACACTCGACCAGCGTGCGATTCATTCTCTCAGCTACTCCGTTTAGCTGAGGAATATATGGGGGTGTGAACCTTTGTTGTATTCCCCGTTCCGCGCAGAATCGTGCCAGCTTGTCGGACTTGTATTCACCCCCATTGTCGCTTTGAAGGTACTTCACGCGCTTTCCGGTTTGCGTTTCGGCCATCGCAGCGTATTCCATGAACTTCGCCGCAACTTCAGATTTGCTCTTGAGCAGATAGACGACACAGTATCTTGACTTGTCATCAATGAATGTCACGAAGTACCGTTTTCCACTGAAAGTTGCCATCGACATCGGTCCGCATACGTCGCTGTGAATCACTTCGAGGAGTTTGGAGGTGCGAGCTGTAGTGTTTGATTGGAAGCGCACTCGAGTCTGTTTTCCCAGAGCACAACCTTCACACACGTCCCACTTCTTCACCGAAGATATGTCGATGCCAATTCCAATGTTCTTCGTCACGATGCAATTGAGTCCATCGTGACCTATGTGGCCAAGCCGAAGGTGCCAGAGGTACGACTTGGTGCCCCCTTGACATCCCGACGACTTGGCTGCATTTGCTTGTTCCGGCGCCACTGGAGTCATTTGCAGCTTGAACAGTCCTTTACCTTCACGGGCACCAATTTTCCACTTGGTCCCTTTCGCTTCTCCATAGCACCCATCCTTCGTGAACGTCACTGGGCCGACATCCTTGGTGAAGCGGCCGACCGAGAACAGGTTTCTGGATAACTTTGGGATGTGCCACACGTTTGTGAGCACACCTTTCTTCATCCCTTGGGGTGTCTTCATCGACATGACAATGTCCCCACTGCCGATTGCTTGGACGATTCCATCATCCGCGAGATGGACATCCACAGCGTCAAACCCCTTGTAGTTCCGCATGAACTTCTTGGAGCACGTCATGTGCTGCGTCGCCCCGGAGTCGACCAGCCAGATGTCGCTCGATTTCGCAGATGTCGTTTCACCGATCGAAAAGAGGTAGTCGCCCGAGTCTTCTTCTTGAGCGACGTTTGCACGTTGTGATCGATAGCGGTCGCCGCTGTCTTGAGCACGCTGTGGCCGGTGTCTCTCCGTGTTTTCTTGGATGCGCGAGGGGCACTCCGCCATCCAGTGACCAATCTTTCCGCAATTGTGGCACGGCCAGGACTTCTTCACTGGTCGCCCTTTGCGCTGATTGTCCCTTGTGATGAACGCTTGACCTTGCGAAGCTTCATCACCTTTACTTCCTTGCTCCTTCCGCTTCATTTCTTCATGAAGCAGTCGAGACGTCACGAGCTCCCAGCTAAGAGTGTCTGAGCGCGACTCCAAAGCTGTGATCAAGAATTGATACGAGTCACTCAGGATGCCGAGGAGTGTGATCACCAGATCGTCCTCGCAGACTGGAGCCCCCACCGCTTCTAGCTGTTCCGCCAGCGTCTTGAGCTTGTTGATGTGTTCGAGCACATCGTCGCCTTCTTCCATCATTGTCGTGAAGAAGCGACGGCGCAAGAACAGCTTGTTGGCAAGAATCTTCTTCTCGAAGTGGTCTTCCAACCTTGACCATGCGTCGCATGCACCACTTGCCGACCGGACCAACGGTAGCTGGGAATCTTCCATGGCTAGACAGATCACTGCCATCGCCTTTCTTGACTTCCTCTTGTACGTCGCTTGGTCCAACTGAGTCTCGCACTGTTCCGCCTTGATCTCACCGCTGACGACCTCCCATAGGTCCCGTTCCTCCAGCACCATCTGCATCTTGAACTTCCAGGCGTGGAAGTTAGTTCCATCGAACTTGGAGATGCGGAGGGAGGAAGCGTCCATGGCAGCTAAGCTTGAATTGTTGGCGGTTTCAGAGTCTGACGAACTTGGGCTCATAACCTGATGAACTTTAGACTTCTTGGTCCGAGTGCAAAACGCAAAGTGAATATATATTTATAATAGGTACTTAGTTCGCAACTTTGAATACTACCTCTAAGCCTATTATTCGCAGTGACGTCATCCAGTGACGTCACCCACTGACGTCATTGCATGACGTCATCCAGTGACGTCATTTCCTGACTTCGCCCTTACTGGTACATACCGGTACCCACCGGTATAGCGAAGCTTGGTCTTCCACTTGCTTCAACACTTGACGCAGCTTGACGAGGTGTCTTCTTCACAGCCGCTGTCTTTTCAACACGTCTCGTTCCACACTCGCGACGCTTGCTTGAGGCCGTAAATTGACTTCACCAATTCCAGGCAGTCGAACGTACTGTCAAGTTCGACGCCTTCAGGAATCACGCAGAATACTTGTTCCTTCATGACGCCATACAGGAAAGCTGTCACCACATCAAGCTGGTCGATGGGCCATCCAAAATGCTTGGAAATTGCGATCACCATTCGCAGCGTCACATACTTGACCACAGGCGAAAACGTCTCCGTGTAGTCGATGCCATACTTTTGGCGGAAACCCTTGGCCACAAGTCGTGCCTTGTACTTCTCGATTGACCCATCCGCCTTGCGCTTGATCTTGAACACCCATTTTGTGCCAATGGCGCGTTGTCCGTTGGGCAGCTTGGCTGCACGAAACACACCGCGAAGTCGCATTGACTCGAGCTCTGCATGAATTGCTTTTCTCCAGTGCACTTGGTCAGGGCCGCTTACTGCTGCTTCAAATGTTGAGGGTTCTGATAAGTCCACTGCTGCTTCAACGGCATTTGCACTCGCACGCCAAAACACAGGCGGTGTTGAATCACCAGAATCCTTCGTTTCTTCGTCTTCTTCTTGTCGTGACGAGTTGTTTTCCGGCGCGCTTGACTCTTCTAGTCCTGGTCGTTGACGCACTGCACGCGGTCGTGGAGCTGCTGTATCTTCATCATTGAGTCGGTTCTTGCGCTTGCCTGTTTGCTTGTACTCCATTTGACGCAGCTCTTCGTCATCAAGATCCAGCAATTCGAAGTCCAGGTCATCGACATCTTCATCAGTGATCGGCAGTTGAAGTCCAAAGGTGGACTCGTCGAAGTTGACAT